AGTGCATCGCTAGTAGTAACAAGTGCCTTACTAGTAGGAACAAGTGCCTTACTAGTAGTAACAAGTGCCTTACTAGTAGAAAAAAGTGCATCGCTAGTAGTAACAAGTGCCTTACTAGTAGGAACAAGAAGCTAGTAGCTTATTGTTTCTAATAGCTTTTTGTTACTACTAGTATGGCACCTGTTACTACTAACGTGGCACTTGTTTCTACTAGCTTCTTGTTACTACTAGTAAGGCACCTGTTACTACTAGCGTGGCACTTGTTACTAGTAGGATCAAAAAAGCTCGACGAACGTGTTCCACTGCCGCTGGTCTCGCAGACCTTCACGTTGCCGTCCTCTCGGAGCCGAACTTCAGATGCCAAGCCCTCGGCAGCGGCATCAGCACGGAGCCGCAGGCCATCCAAGATAGCCTGGCGATCCGTGCTTGATTGAACTTATGGAGCCTATTGCCAATCAGTACTGTGGAACCAATCAGTTTGGTGGGAGCTGAGCAGAAACCAAGAGACATCAAAGAAGCTGCACACTTGCAAGTCACTTGCCTTCATGATGATATTCACATATATTCACCACTCACCACCAAACCAAAACAAGGGGTCGGCATTGTCAAGTGTCATCGTGTCTGACACATCTGCCTGCTCCTTGCTGGCTTTTGCCTCGGCAGCCTGCAGGCCACTGCACAAAGCCTCCATGACACCGGCGTCCAAAATAGTCAAGGACCCAAAGGGTACTGCTTCTTCGTTTCCAGTTCAGGCACGAGCAAACTCCTACACGGCTCGAATTCAGGATTGCTCCTGGCCTGCTTTAAGACACTTGCTGGCAACAACAATGATACATTTAGTCACTTGAGCATGACAAACATGCACTAGGCTTCCACCATGGTCAAAAGGCAAAATGTCCTGCCAACTTCAAGTACTGTAGCCATATTAATGGCTCGTGAACGGTCTGCATTCCCTTTGCCTCCACTTGACTCTGCAAAGCATCAACCTTGGTTCTCCAGCACTTTTGGTGCTGATGTCCTTCTACTGCGATGGTTTCAATTCAATCGCTACGAAGGAAATGAGTCACACTTGAAGCACACAACCAGCACTGCTGCTCCTTGGTCTGCACTAGACATGGGTTGCGAATATATTTCTGGAATTTTTTTCGTTTTTTTTTTTTGGATTTTTTTTGTTTTTCGTGTTTCGTGGCAGGTGCAGTACTTTTTGGACCTTGCAAAGCACATTTCGTGGCAGGTGCAGGACTTTGTGGGCCTTGGAGTGCAGAGTTTGTGGCATGCGCAGGACTTTTTGTGGGCCTTGAAGTGCAGATTTCGTGGCAGGTGTAGTACTTTGTGGGCCTTGGAGTGCAGATTTTGTGGCAGGCGCAGGACTTTGTGGACCTTGAAGTGCAGATTTCGTGGCAGATGCAGGACTTTGTGGGTGTGGAAGTGTAGAGTCGAGTTGGTGGCAGGTGCAGGACTTTGTGGGCCTTGGAGTGCAGATTTCGTGGCAGGCGCAAGACTTTGTGGACCTTGAAGTGCAGATTCGTGGCAGGTGCAGTACTTTGTGGATGTTGAACTGCAGAAAGATAGAAAGATAAATTGATAGATAGATAGATTAGATTAGATTAGATTAGATTAGTTTAGATTGATAGATAGATAGATAGATGGATAGATAGAGGAGGCATATTTGCTTGGTTAGAAAGTTTTGCACCGGGGAGTTCACCTTAAAATATTGATTTCGTGGCAGGCGCGGGTGTCGGGGATGAAGTGCAGATTTCGTGGCGCGGGGGGGGCGCAGCGCCCCCCCCAGCAGCACACCAGATCCAAAGGTGAGCAGCTCGTGCTTGCTTGCTTGCTTGCTTCCTTGTTTGGTTTCGTCTCTGCAACGAAAACAACAGGAAAAGCAAATACAAAAAGAGAAAGGAGAACAGCTGCCAAAAGAAAGAAAGATAGATAGATAGATAAATAGATATAGGTATAGACAGATAGATGGATAGGCCAAAAAGCCAAAAGCCACAGAAGCCACGAAAGCCACGAAAGCCACAAAAGCCAGAAGCCACAGAAGCCAAAAGCCACAAAAGCCAGAAGCCACAGAAGCCAGAAGCCAGAAGCCACGAAAAACAAAAAAAAATCCAAAAAAAGAAACAAAAAAAAATCCAAAAATAAATACCCCTCCCTAGACATGTGCTTCTGAACTGCCAACATCAAAAAAGGGATGCAGTCTGAATCCTTCGAGATGGCTGTCACATGCGATCGCAAAACCTGCAGATGGTCGGCTGAGCATCAGGACTTTTGCAGCAAGACCACTGAGGTGTTGTCGATCCGAGTTGATTCGGTCCTCGTGCGCACATGTCAGAATCAAGGCCCTCTAGGCGAAACCAATTGCCAATCGCCTTCCAACCGTGGGGCTGCTGTCAAGCCCCGTTCGTAGCGTCCGAACGCTCCTAGTAGTATGGCCAGGAGCCCCTAGTAGAAAGTCATCAATGTCATTCAAAATCCACAAACCGGTATATAAAGAATCCCGGAAATTGCACCCGCTGCTCGCTGATATTGATTTCTTATTGAGCGTTGGCTTGTTTTCAACTAAACTGTTTGTCGTTGTTCATGATAGTGTTTACTAATGTCAATCTCTTCTCGTGGTTCTATCAACCATTGCCAAAGGCTACTCGCTATGAAGCCACCAAACCACGACATACTTGGACTCTGAACGTATATACAAGCTAAGAAAGCTTTGCAATCTTTTCATCCTGGGTTCAAACCTAATAGTGATGGCCTCCAACCTAGAAGCGATGGCCTCCACCTAGTAGCATCCTTGCTACTGCTTAGGGTTCTAGTATTTCCGTTGGATGATTGACTCTGTTCTTAATCCAACACTGATTCCTGGAACCCGCCCCCAAGACTAACATCCGTTCATCTCCATTGCATCGACGCTCATCTCCCTTCATCTCCATTCCAGAAAAACCTCCCCAATACACGCCTCAAAACAAAACTTTTGAATTTAGCTTGTTGTCCGTTGATATAAAGCGTTTTGGAGGGCTCCTGTTATCAGAGGTGGGGATTAAGTAAGATATTGCTGATATCAGACCAGTAAATTACCAGCAAGGTGGTAGGGACTTTAGCCTGAAGCACGAGGCAACGACAAGCGAGTGGGAGCAATTGGATATGTTGATATCATTCCGTGTAACACTACAGCACCCTCAAGGTACGAGAGTGCCACCCAAAGGCCTTTACGCGTGTGGCTAAAGTTTGTGTACGCATGAACAAGTTGATGCCGCACGACCAACCTTGTATTTTGGATGCCATCAGCATCTAAGCCTCTAAGCTGAGCCTCTTTGTTTAAAAGGCCTTTGATTTGTTAGTTTTGTTGATTTGGAACGGTTCCCCCCAAAGATGTGTTCCCTCTAAGGTGAAGATCCTTCTTGACGTGGGTGTGGTTTACCCACGCAGCGTTTGCATATGTACAAAGAATGAGGAAAGCATCCTAGGTCCTATAACAGCTCGGAAGTCAAAAAAGAACTTGCGATGTCCTCCAAACCGGGCTGCTCTGCCTGCAACTGCCGCGAACTAAAAAAAACAAAACTCCCACTTCGACACACGTACACACAGTTGATCACAAATGTTCATCTCCAGTTCTCCGCAACATGTGTCCTTTGTCATTCACGCAAGCTACTCTTGATCCATGTGGCTTCTTTTCTTGGGACTCTTCAGCACTTTATGACGTCTTTGGATTGGTTGCCGTGCCTTTTTTTGTAAGTGCTGCCTCATCCTGGCTTGCTCTGCACTGAGCTCCTCCAGGCCTCAAAGGTCAAACCCTATGACTCCCGGACAACTACTCTCATGACACAGCAAACGGCAAATGGAACGAAAGCGTCATCCTTAGCAATCTAGACTGGCACTTGACCACCCAGTGTCTTTGCTACACCAATTGTCTGGAACACGCATACGAAGGAAAAGAACACTCGCGCAAAGGATCACAAATGTTACTGTTTGACCATCTGATCTCTTGCCAAGAACGCTTGGAGTATGAGATCTAAGGCCAAGAACGCTTGGAGTGGTCCGTGTTCGAAGCCCTGCTCAACTCAGCCAAATGCGCCTCCGCAAAATGCGATGTCAGGCCCAAAGTTGCAACAAGGAAAGTGTCGTGCCAAGCAATCGCGACTCAATGACCTGACGCCATCAACTGCACTCAAACACCCGTTCTTTGCATTTGTTTCTTTTTTGTATTCTTCTTTTTTGTTCTTGTTGAGACCTTCAACATCCTTTAACATTCTTTAACCGGCTTCTCTTTCTTGTCTTCCATCTTGTTTCTGCTCTTTGGCATAGAAGCCCCAGAAGGGTAGCCTATGCACAAGTCTATCGCAGGCTAGGGGTCCCTGGGTAGGGCATAGACTACCCCACATGTGCACCCAGGGTACTTAGGGGTACGGACAAGCGTCTAGGTGGAACCCCACCCTAGGTCGACTATACCCCTGTAGATGGGATATCTTTTAATGTTATGTTGATCATCTTCTCTTTCCTTTCAGAGCACCAATTATGTGCTTTGTGTGTTGTTCTGTTGTTCCGTTCCGTTCTTTTCTTCCAAACATGTTCTGTTCCTCTTGCTTTGCCTTGCAAGCCTGACTCAATGACCTGGCCAAATCAAATGCAATATCGCGCAGAATTAGCAATTTCATGGCACACCCGGCTGGCATTCTCTGAGGTGAAATTGCTTCACCCAAGGTTTAAAAAAAAACTGAATGGCCTGGAGTCGGTCCACTTTCCGCACCAGTTCCTGGAAACACGATGCCCCCACCTGCGCCTGGGCAGTTTCCAACAGCAACACCGAAGAGAGGTGTTCGGTAAGATCGCCCACTTTTAACGATGCAATTCTTGATAGGAAGGCCATCGCTCTTAGGTTTGAGGCCATGGCTGTTAGGTTGGAGGCCATGGCTATTAGGTTGGAGGTCATCGCTATTAGGGTGGAGGACATTGCCGGCATGTGGTTACATCCAAGACCAAAGCTGTCATTTGGAAAAACAAGCAAACAGCACAGAAGTCCTGGAAAAATAATCATGATTTCATGAACAATCATGAAAGGATCACTGTCAATGGCAATCTTATTAACATCTATCAACTAACAACGCCGCCCATAGGCATGGCTCCCTGCTGTAGCTTGGTCATACACTGTCAAGATTCCAAGCCTGCTGACGTCTTTCTGGTTCATGGACCTGGCGAACGGGACAGCCCTCCATCCTTCGCTTGCGCACGTTGTATTCTTGACAAGATCCGAACATGAAACACTCACGTAAGCGTTCCAAAACGGGCAACCCACATGCGAAGACTGCAATGTCTGGCTGCTTAGAAACGGAAGACACGGCAACCAGGCCTTGCCTCATCAACAAGTTTCACCACTTGCGACTCGACGGCTTTGCAGCGACTTTCAGCACAGTGGTCCCAGCGACGTAGCAAAGACTCCATCGCCTCCAAGAACATTGAAGATTCAACTTATGTTCTGGAAACCCCTTTTGGCTACCATAGGCACGCTTGAAAGGCTGTGAATGCATCCTGTGTTGGGCATCTTTTCGTGTTGGGGATTGTGCCGTTCCTCAGTTCACTCCTTCGTGCCGTTTGCATATGTTCGTTGAGCCGCTCCTGTAATTGCTTTGCTTCTGGAACTTCTGGCCCGTTGAGTTGACTGCAATGGGTTCGATGGTGGCACTGATCTGCCCACTTGGCAGCCATTTGGCAGCTTTTGGTTTCTACCTTCACTCAACTCTGTCTTGGCCCTTGGTCTAGCACGACGAAGTATTTTTAGAAATATGATTGGAAAGTCAATGTTTTTGTCTCTTGTTCTTTTTTTAACCACTAGCGTTGCTTTATGTGTGCTAATCTATGCTTTTGTGTAGAGCCTCAAGTCGTGGGGGCGGCAAAATGGGGACAGGGAACTTGGGACAGGGAACTGGGGACAGGGAAGTGGGGGCAGGAACTGGGGGCAGCAAACTGGGGACTTTTGTTGCGATGCGGCGAGAAAGTGTGGCGGCGACAGCAGCCAGAGGCGATAGAGTCGATAGAGGCGAGTGTATGCCAAGAATCGTGATTTGTTGGATGTTCTTTGGCATGTTCTGGTAAATCTGGGACTGCTTTGCACAATGCTCAGAAAGTTCACAACCTGAGCTGCTCACTTTGCATTGCTGATGCTCCAGGTCCTCGAGCTGTTCATGAGATGCCTGGCAATTCCATGCTTCGCCAGGGAGATGCATCCCATACTCAGCATGGATGCAGCTTCACGCAAGTGACAGCAATGGCCTCCATGGCCTCCAACCTACTAGCGATGGCCTCCTCTTCACGCAAGTAAAATCAAGTAGAATTAAATTAAGATTAAATTAACTAATAGCTTCTTCTTACTACTAGTAAGGCACTTGTTACTAGAAGCGATGCACTTGTTACTAGTCGCATTTAAGTGTCGGAACCTTTTGGCCCAGCTCCTTCCGCAGTTGTGTGACCATATCTTTGATGGCCTGAGACGGGGAACGTGCGGAGAAACCTGGCAGTCAGGGGTCCATACCGACATACCGACTGCCTGGCTGTCGGAAACCTTTAAAGAGAGAGAATAATGTCTTGCACGTCAAGCTAGTTCTCCGCAAAAGAACCGTCGGAAAATGCGAGAGTCTCTTCCTAAGCAGGGTTGGCAAGATCGGCCGGTGCCTCACATTGTTCATACAGGCTCTGAACTTGCAAATTCACGGAGGCCAGCTCCTTCGCACTACCCGCATGAAAGCAGCGAAAGAAAGCATGCTTCAAGTGCTTGTGGCGACACTCGAGTGTCCTTCTGCAAGCTGCCTTTGAACTCTGCGCTCAACTCTTTCTGGCCCATCGCCATGCTGTTGACTTTCTCCTGGCGAAGGTCTCAAATTGAAGATCACACCTGTGGTTTGTCGAGAGCTTTGGTGACTTCCAAAGCTAGCCATATGTGTTTGACGAACAGGACATTTTTGGGACACTCTCCGGCACAAAGCGGTTGAAGCACAGGTCTCGAGTCAAATAAAGTCGAATCGGATTCTCCGATGCTCCTGGAGGCAGTCTAGGCTTAACCAATGCTCCCGGCTGTAGTTGTTGATCTTCTCATCAAACTCTTTGACCCTCAAACCTCATGTTAATCGCAGGTCACGCTCCAAATGGATCGCAAGTGCCCACGCTTGTGCGAGAATTCAGGACATGGGCCATTCCGGTCCAATGCCTTTGCAAGGGAATAAACATGATTTAACTTTTTCATGGGGCATCATGCAGTGTCCTTCCAATCCATTTCACGTGCTGGCAGTTGTTGGCACTTCACCTGACATCTCATGCATCTTGGGTCCGCGCTGGCTGCTTTGGCCTCTCTGACAGCAGCTAATGAGCTGGAGACTTTGGCAATTGCAGAGGCTTCTAGCGCCTCAGTCAAGTCGCCTGGCGAGTCACCGAGCCATCAGTGAACGGGACCTTTCGCAGAAAAGGACGTTTTTGGAAAACAAAACGCTCCAACGACGAAGTCACGAAATGGTTCACGTGGCGTGAAGCCGTGTCTCCGTCGTCAAACGTGTGGCAACTCGACGGTAGGTATGAATACTAGTTGTTGTCTTGTATTTGATGACTGTCCACGATACTGGCTTTGTGGTGGCCTTTAGGGCCACATCAGGAAAAGGGAAGGGTGTGATTCCGATGTTCCCCGCTCCTGCCTTGCGCATCAATATCTGCCCCCGACCTGCACAGCCTCCAAACATCAAGGCCTCAAACATGCAAAGCTGGTACATGCTCAATGGACACGCCGATGCTATAAGGCTACAGTATCTTATTTGCCCATGCCATCCGCAATGGAAGCTTTCCATGAACACTTGCATTGTTCAACTGATTCAAGTGTCTTCGAAATCTCATCTTTTGATTGCAAATAGGTGCCACACTGTCATGGTCAATGTGTGCGAGCTTCGACTGCACGTCTCGTGCCAAAGACGAAAATTCCAAGAAGGACCAGCACTTTGCTTACCCCAAATGAATCCTAACTCAACTTCGAGCATTGTTCTACAAGGATGTAGTAGCGCTTTTGGAATGGAACGAACACTTCAAAGATGCAAAAGGGCTGTTGATGTCTGTTGAGTTGCAACTCACCAAACCCTGATCACGACACTTCAGGGAAGCTATTTGGCCTGCCTTTGACACAACAAAGGTCCTAGCCTCCCAGACTTCCAGCGCTGAAGTCCCCAAAGCATCGTCAACATCCTCTGCAACCTCAGTGAGGCTCACAAATGAAGTTCCCACTTCGCGGCGAAACAGCTGCAAATAGCATTACTTGACGCAAACAAAGGAATTCAAGGCCAGAACATGGCCCAACAAAAACGTCGCATTTGAGGGAGCGTTCTTGCACCGCATGCCAAACCAGGAAAACTAAGATGAACAACTTTTGAGTTGCGGAAGCAGTAGAATAGCTCTAATGGCTTGACGAGAAGTTGCTCCATGTGCGAAAAAGTTGTGCGTGAATAGCATCGCACGTGAATCATGCGCGCAAAAGTATAAGAGCTAGACTTAGACACATCTCGCAGGCGATTAGGATGCATGTGGACCATTCTCTCAAAATGCAAGCATTTCCACACGAGGGAAACACTTGGAAACTAAGGGCATGTAGGACGGGACTAAGAGAGCAAGAAAAGAAGTGCTGGCAGGCTAGATTTAGTAGTAACAATAAGCTAGTAGTAATAAGTGCATCGCTTCTAGTAACAAGTGCCTTACTAGTATAGTAACAAGAAGCTCGTGACAATATATATTCCAGAGTGGAATGGAATCCGTAGTTTGAAGAGCGATGTGCTGAATCACCTTCTCACGCTTCACGGCCTACCACAATGTACCACGTCAACCAGGCTACACCGCATTGTACTTCCACCACAAGTAGAGTAAAAACCATGTAACCTTAAAGTTTGTGGTGCGTATGGTCAAGTGTATTTGGACACCGTTCACACCACGAAGACTTGTCTGTTCAATTCGGGTCATGGTGAAGCAACGAAAGCTTGAAACTGTGTCCATCTGCCAAAGATTGGCGTCACGTTGCGACGCAAGCACCGATGGGAAAACGGTTACTTTCACACCGGATAGCGTTGGCCTCCAACCTAATAGCTTTTACCTTCGTTAAGAGCTTGGAAAACTCAGTTCTGCTGGCTCACACCTGTCAGACTGGGCCAGCCGCTTTGTGTTTTGGCCGGTCAACGCTCCGAAGCTCCTACTAGTTGGCAAAGTAGTGGAGTTGGCAAAGTATATTTGCTCAAGGCAAATCCGTGAGGGCTAGTGAAACAAACCTGGTTTGACCAGACTGACGTCGGAGATGAACATGAATTTTGGGTGGTTCTATCTTCCATTCAGTGATGTGGCAACGAAAAACATAAGCTGGATCCATAAGATCTAGAGGAGGGCGATGAACCTAAGAATCAGAAAAAAGAATGGACAATGACTCGGACGTTGACATGTGCTTGATTTGTTGCTATGCTCATTATGGTTGCCCGCACCAATCTCAAAAATGCCTCTCTCCTCTCTCGCCTCAGGGCGTGGTTCTTTCGCCTCACCTAGGCGAGAGTGGAGTGAATGGGTAGAATTTCATTACTACTGTGTATATATATTAGCAAGGGCAACAAGTTTAGAACATACCATCACACAATAACAAATGCGTTATATATAAATATTCCATATATGTTTTATATGTTTGACTTGTGTGATCTCCTGTCGGTGTAGATCTGTCACCGGCATTCATCCCCACAGCCCTGTCAAGGTCTCTACTGCCTCACCCTTCGGCTCCGTTCGAAGGTCTGGGACGGGCGCATTTGCACAGGTGGCGCCAGGCTACGCAAAGGCGTTCGCCTGGTCGATGTTTGAAGTGGACCTGCAGTCAGGATCAGTCAGGTGGGCTCTGCTTGAATCCACAGGAGAGAAAATGAAACAAACTAGGGAATGGCAGGAAGGCTCGGTTTCATTGGAGATGGCATGCATAACACCAGGAGGCCTCATAAAGGGCGCTTCTCTTAATTTCGCAAGTGTTACTTTCTTAACAGTCAGCTGAGCAAGAAGAGAGCAAAGACATTGCGGAAAAACACAGCTGCTCTTCCGAAAAAATGAGCAGATGAGCAAGAAAGAAGGAAACCTATGACAAACACAGGAAAGCACAAGGGAGAAAACAAAGGGCAACAAATTGGGAACACAAAGAGGTTCGGCTCAATTTGGTTCAGGAGGAAAATTGGTTGCTTGCAATTCACGTTGCTATTGCCGCCAAATGTTGTGTAGAAAGTGACTCAATCTCATGAGTCCTAAGTTCATTATTGGGGTGTCCTGAATCGGCGAGTTGCAACTAATTAGCGGCCCGGTCTTTAATCGGCTATTAACACCCTTCATGCGGCAGAACAATCAGCGAGTTGCTGAAGCTTTACCCGTCATGGCATTGCTTGGCCTGCCAACGCTTCTCGTCTTCTTGGTGAACCCAACAGGGGCTTGCGGCTTGCAAGCTTCTCTGCAATGTCAATTCCTGGTGGTTCCGCGTTGTTGGTGAACAGTGGCTGAGGAGGCTACCTCAACACCGCAATGATACTTCAAGCCTTTGGAAGCTGGCCGTTTGTGCAAAAATGTTGGTCCGGCCCCAGAGCTGTCGGTTCATGCTCCGTGCTGAACAATGCTTGAGAAGACGTCTTTCAATCCGCATGTGATGGTTCTTCAAACGCTTGGAAGCCAGGGCCTCTGTCTGTTGTCAATGCCAGCCCCATTTAGGAACAAGAAGCTACTAGAGGCTCCTCGCCTTACTACTAGGAGCAAGGACGCTACTAGTAGCTCCTGGCCTTATTGCTAGGAACAAGAAGCTACTAGGGGCTGCAGCCCTGAACAAGGTAGCGGGAGTCGGCCCCGGAAGTATGCGCAAGCAACGGTTGACACCGCAAATGCCAACGCAGGCTCGTGCTTTTGACCCGGGCAACTGCTTTACTATGCTTCACTGCTTCTCTCCTTCTTCTTGGTCTTAGTCCATGCTGCACGTGCTCCGAACCTTCTTTGGTTTGGACAGAAGAAGTGCCGACTGGATTTGGTGGGTTGAAGCTGTTTGATGACTGCACTACAGAAACTGTTTGAGGTTGGAGGCCATCGCTACTAGGGTGGAGGCCATTACTATTCATAAAGAAGCTGGCCATGCCTGACAGGTCTTGGCATTGCAGTCAACCTGACGTGAGAGACACACGTCAAGCAACTTCGATGTGGAAGACCCTTAAGGAACTTGGGCAAGACAGCAACATCAACCATGAAAGATCATGAAAGGCCACGAAAAAACACCAAAAAAAGGTGAGGTGTACCATGATGTTTCATGCCGTCGCGGGGAAACCGCGATCCGTAGTGATCCATGATGCGCGGTTGTAGCGAATCTGTGGTGTTAGTAGGCGATCTATTGCGCTTTTCTCATGGCATTTGATGGTTTCTGCACATCCATGGTGCATGGTTCTATCTATGGCCAGTGATCTTTGATCGATTTCCACACTATGTCCATGATTACATGTGGACAGGGAATCAAAAGGGTTCTTTCAATTGAATTCGCGTGACCCCAAGTGGAGATTGCTGCTTCCGACAGTCTGCGACGTCAAAGCAAAACGCATGTCAAAGCGGCCAAAGGCGGGATGAAAACGCCCTCGCTACTAGCGTGGAGGCCATTCCTAGTAGCCCCGGCCTGATTCACAACTCCTGAATCTCCTGCGGCAAAGTCTTGGAAGTGTCGACCCTCCAAGACAACCACCTGATCGATGTCTCTCAGTGTCTCTCGATGTCTCTTGGATGATCGGCACTCTTGCTTCAATTAGGAGCTGTAAACTCTCTACTCTGGTAGAGGGCACAAGGCGTCATTACAAGCTACTGAGCAAGTAAGTCTCATCGTGAAACAGAGACCCGATAAGGCTACTGAGCAAGTGCATGCAAGAACACTGCGGGTCCACACCATTGCCGCCTTGTCACCAGGCGTGAACGGGGATGCAGGTGAAACAATGTTCATCGGCTCATGCCCCAAGCATTGAAGCCTATCAAGCTTGAGCCCAGGCCATTGAAAGAAAAGGTTAGAGGCCATTGCTTCTAGGTTGGAGGCCATCGCTAGAAGGTTGGAGGCCATTGAAGCAAAAAGTTCCACACTATGCGTTGTGTCCTACCTGGAGCGGAATGATGGCTAAAGCATGTGGAGCTTCAAGTTTCCTGGTCACCTCGGCAATTTGTTTCTATGATGTTCTATGTGTCTTTCTTATTTTCTGTTTGTCACTTTTTCCTTTACGGCATATCTTTAGACCAGTCTCTCGCCTTTTAGTTTCTTGTCTTTCGTTGATCATGCGTATCATGAATCATGGTAAGCTTCTTCTATCTTCTGATTTGAGCTGGTCACCTTGGCAAGGTGATCGCCAACAAGCGCCGTCGTTACGGGAACAGACCCTCCCTCTCGGTGGTTCTGGGACTCGGGCGTGTTGCAAGTTGTCTTTCACCTGAAGTCTCTGACATGTCGAACCGGATGAACTCACCAAACGACTCACCCCACTTCCACTAGCATTGGAGGAAGCCCTTTGAAGACCAAAGGTTGAGAATGGAAGGCTCTCCATGCCTTTTCTGCAACTCTTGCTGTTACTGTGCTTCACTGTGCTTGTGTCTCACTGCTAGATTCTAAATGTTCAATATCCACTACTATGTCAGGATTGGCCTCAGGTGGCTTGTAGCTCAACCTATGTGGCTGGCATTGCTTTTCCCCATTGCCCCAAACTTGTGCGGTTCCTTGTGGACACAACAGAACTAGTAACCCAAAGACCTGTGATCGATGACACAGGAAAACGCGGCAGGGTATAGAACCGTCAGCAAACAGTTGAAAACACGGCCTTCTCCGGACTCACACAAGAGCAGAATGCATGGTAAAGGTCTAGCTTGATGCAAAACACTGTAAAACAAGTGCTGCCCGTGCTCTTGACCTGCCATTGCCATTGGGACTTTGACAGGTTAAGGTGCATCAATCTGCCACAGAACGTCCACAGCTTGCGAGCTGACGTCCAACCACAGAAAGCCTTCCAGCAGCGGTCCCATCTCTAATCAGATAGCGCTCTCCTCGCTTGATTTAATTCACTGGGCACCAAGGTCAGTAGTACCAATGATTCCTTTTTGAAGTTCGGAAGACGGGGCACCCATCCCAGAACGAGCGGAAAGACAGAGCCTTGCTCCATTCGCTTCTGGAATGCCACACGTTGCGATCCCCCGAACGGCCCTGCCTGGTCCGCTTTCAACGAGGCACGCACCGCGCAGCGAGGGGGCACCGCTGAACGGGTGGAAGCCGGACTGAAGTCCTGTGGTGTGTTTTGTACACAGCCGTGAACCAAAGCCAGGAGTTGAGGCACAGCTGCAAAACGAACACATAGAAAAAGATGAAAAAGGAATGGAAAAAAACATGGTTTGAACATGTTTGAACAGTGGTTTGAACGTGTGAAGGCCTGTGCGGAAGACCTTCCATCACGTGCGGATCCTGCGCGCACTTCCTTAGGATTGGAGACTGTCGAGCCTCAGTGAGTGGAAAGGACTGAGAAAGATAAATTCTGGCGTCCGATCGCTCCTAGTAAGGCCAGGAGCCCCGAACGTAGCGTCCGATCGCTACTAGTAGCGAGGCCAGGAGCCCCGAACGTAGCGTTCTTGTTCCTAGTAGCTTCATGGAAAAAAGGCTTGTGTTCATGTGTTTCTGTCTTTTTCTGACACCCTCCTTTCAAACAACTTCCGCCAGTGCAGCTCCTGTTAGGTCTTTTCATGGCTCTTTCGAGCGTCCGATGAGTTCTCACAACGGAAGGCATCTTCGGGTCCGAATCCTTCTTGGCCCCTACTTATCCCGGGGAAGCCATCGCATCACTATACTGTTGCTATCCATGTCAACACCCACCTTCATCGTGGATCTGGTAGTGAACAACCCAGGCTCATTGTTCAACACCCTAGGCCTAGGATCTAGTCTAGATGAGTCTAGGTGGTTCAAAGGAGCAATGAAGAAGGAGCCAAGAAGGTGTTGCTGTGTCCGTTGGGGCAAGCAACCAGTGGTCAAATAAGTCGATAAGTGATGATCAGCGAGCACTTTGTCTTCAGCACTTTGGCCATAAACCCGGCCAACTTCAGGTGTTGCCTTCTCGGCCGTTGCCCAGCTGTGCAGCTGGTCCTTTCTGTTTCATCCCGCCTTCCCTTGGAAGGAGGGTCAAACACAGGCGCAAACGAAGAGTCAAACCTCCACAATCACTGGAACCTGGCATGCCATGACTGTTGCCACGAGCATGATTATTGAATGACCCCTGTCTGCCATGATCGCGGTAGAGACAGCATGTCAGGAAAGTATCAAAAGCATTGCGTCGACAACATGCCACACACGATGACAAAACATTACAAAAACTGCTGCAGCCCCACGATCATCCTCAATGCCCCTTTAAGGGGCTTCAGCCCAAGAGGCAATTCATGCTTTGCCGCATTTTATAAAATGCAGGACGTTCACAGGGCAAAGTTGCAAAATGTCACAGCAAGGCGTTCACAACGTGCTGTCTTGCTGTTGGTCTGCCGCCCTGACAGTATAACAAGCCCCTTCATCGCCCAGCTTCTGTCACTCAGCGGAAGCTGAAGCAGGTGACTGGCGAGAAGAGCCAAAACTGAGAGTTCTCAAAACACAAGCTCGCCAAACATGGCGATTGTGATTTCAGGGTTTGGGACATGCGATAGTGCTACAGCATGCTTTAGCTATGGCATATGGTGTTTGTTGTCATGCTTTACGTCAGGAAGTTCCAAACCCCCCCCTTCGCTCAGGAAGGTGCTGGGAAAACCTTTGATGTCTGGCGCTTCTGGAGCGTCCATCCATTTACAGAGCATCCTTCTGGCACATGGTATGAGGTGCAGTGCATCTGCACGGAACTGATGCAAATCGGATTTGGCACAGAGTCTGCACGGCCGAAGGCCGCACATCCAGCGCCTCTAGAGGAGTCACGGCACACATCGAGGAGTGACACACTATGCTGAACTCTGAATACAGTAAATCTCGCAATGGAGTGTCAAGAATGCCTATCAGGTCCCAATGTCTTACCCTGCCGAGCGACTCATCCACGGAAGGGACCCCTGGCCGTCTGACTTCCCTCCACTGCCGGACTCAGTGAAGTGAAACAATGAACATTATGAAAAATAGCACAGGAAGAAAGAAAAAGGTCTGACCAGCTCTCAGGGAAAAATAAGGAAAACTACATACAAAAGAAAAACTGACAATTCTGCAAAGGTAATGCAAAAGGTGATGCCACTCCAGGGAAACTCAAAAGGGAAAGCAACCTGCAAAAGCACAGGGAAAAACTGGAATTCTGTGGTGGAAGCCCAAACGGCAAATATATATATATATGTATAAACAGGAGTCACACTCTCCACAAAAGGGTGACTAACAGAACAACTTGCCCAATTACCACCAAGCACCTAGTAGACGCCACTAGGCTCCTGGCCCTACTACTAGGAACAAGAAGCTACTAGGAACAAAGGGCATCGCTACGAACGGAGCGATCGGACGCTACTAGGTTCATAGGAGAAGGGATGGAGACGGTACCATCTGTTCTCCAAGGCACTCTTTCATGGACAGGGCCAGTTGCAAAGGTTGCTGCTGGCGACGCTCAACGACTTCCTTCCACAGTTCGCGTTCATGTTTGACGCGCTCCTGGCAGTGACACGTGCTCAGATTGACACGCTCAGTTCTTCGGAGATGTCGTGGAATATCATTGCATGAGGATTGCAGGAGGATTGCTGCTGGGTCGCTTAGACTGCCTCTGGGCTTTTCTTGCTCGTTTCATCTACACAATGCTGAACATCGTCTACAATGTGACATAAGTGTATTCATTTGTACGGTATCAACCCTTAATTACGGCCTACGCAAAGTGCAAAAAAGTACGGTATCAATTTTTGTGCGGCATGTCTTTGTTCTTGTCTGGGCACCAGCTGTGACTCGATGTGCTGCTGTGAGATTTGCAGCAACCGTAGCACGCTGTGGTCCGCCTGGGCAGTGACTCAGCTCTTGCCATCGTTGCGAGTAGTGACTGAAAAAGAAGGAGGCCATGGCTAATAGGTTGGATGCCACTGCTATTAGTTAGGTGTTGTTTGAGCCTGCAAGGAAGACGCTCTAGGCCCTGGGAGCCTTCTTGGCAATCATGTCCAGGATGTTTCGGAAGCGTTGGGAGCATCGCTGGCGCCAAGCTTTATCCACACGGAAGGAGAAGGTTTCAGCACTCTCCTATCAAAGCGCTGGTAGTCTGAGCTCCCTAAATAAGGCCGATTCGTGTTTTTCAGCACCAGGCACTGGAGCAAAGCAAAAGAGATGTCTAGATTGACAATGCGGTATGGGGTGTTGGACCACTGTTACTAGTTCCTGCATGTTCCTAACCGGTAGCCGCCAGAAGTCAATGCTCAATCCTGTTCGATCATCTTCCACTTGGGTCGATGCAGCATCTCTTTCTTTCTTTTCTTTCTTTACTTTTTTATTTCTTTCTTTCTTTCTGTTCTTTTCCTTTCCCTTTCCGTTCTATTCTTTTCTTTTTTGTCAATGCTTCTCTTTCAATTCTGGGCGATTTGTCCGGTCTCCATCTTCCCTCCCAGATCTCGATTCGTCTCCTCCCAGCCCAAGAGCTCCACATCGGCTTCCCCACTCTCGGCCCCCTCAGCATCATCAAAGCGGGGACCTGGGAAGACCCCGACCACCTGGGCGAACTTCACCACACCTGGCGCGAAACGCAACGGCCACGTGTCGGCCCTTGGTTAGGCACTATACAGCTATAGACAGCTATAGCCGGATGAGTCAAAACAAGCAAGAATGAGTCAAAGCAAGACTGGATGTTTCATCAACTTGTGGCCTGCTTGGACACACCAACGTTCAAAAAGCTTCCCATTGTGGTTTGCTCTCCCCACCTTTGGTCAATGACGACACACAATGCTTCACATCCTCAAATGGTTTCTCGTTGACCTGTGGCAGAGGACGCTGCAGTTAAACACAACAGCAAATCTCAGTACCTTCCTTCCTGGTGTGGGTTGGGGACCATCGCTAGTACCTTTCCTTTTTCCTGAATGTTGGATGCTGATTGGTAAGCCGGTCCTCAATAATGCTAAATGTTTCCAAAATTATTCCAGACCCCATGTTGGAAAAAGTTGTCCTAAAGAGTGCTAATTTTTTTGGGGGGCCCTAATTTTTTTTATATTGAACACCTATTTAATGAGGGTTTGAATTCCTTCTGAGGCCAATGATTATGATTCATTAGCTGATAGGTTTCTCTAGGTTTCTTCAAAACTGATAGCTTTCCAAAACCACCAACTCCTAATTAAACCCTTTACAAAACATGGTTCCTAAACAAATTTTCAAGGTAGTCAACCAGGAAGGCACCTGATCATCAATAATAGATTTGTTTTGGTGGTTCTCAATTGTGAAAAGTTTTTCCACTGGAAAAAACTGTTCATGGAATCTTCCTTTACTTAGCTCCTGAGGCCAATGGTTATGATTCATTAGCTGATAGGTTTCTCTAGGTTTCTTCAAAACTGACAGCTTTCCAAAACCACCAATTCCTAATTAGACCCTTTATAAAACATTGCTCCTAAACAAATTTTCAAGGTAGTAGACCAGGA